CACCCCCCACCACCACCACTACCCCCGCCTTTCAAACTTCCTCCTCTTAAAATACAGACTAACACACATAGATATCCACACACACACAAACCTCCCCTCAGTGGTCATCAACCGGCTATTTTTAAATCCCACAAATCAGCCCATAAAAAGAAGAAAAGTTTTTGTGTTTGTTAATGATGAGAACAAGAGCTCAGGAGAGAAACTCCAGGCCAGCAGTCAGAAGCCGTCACAGTGCAAGACAAGGAGGAGAAGAAAAGATGGCCTCCAAGCTCCTGGAAGCTGCGACAAAGGTAGGAGACCTCAGGCTTTAGTCAGGGTTTTGGTTTCTCTTGCATGGATGCTACAGTTTTATTACTCTAAAGCAACAAAGTGCATTAATTCCTGTGTGTGGTATGTTGAATGAAGTGTGTGAGTTTATGTATCTGGGGGTGTTTTTGTGCTGTGAAGGGTTATATCTTTAAAATGTGGATCTGCTTTAGCTTAAATCTTTCCCATTTGCTGCTGCGCATTTATCTGTTTTTTGTGTCCAAAAAGGTTCTTTTTTTCTCACACCCATCTTGGATTTATGCGCCTAAGATGCTGTTGAGATAAACTCTCCACAAAATAAACTAAAGCTCATTTGGATCCCTTTCCTCATAGTTTTAGGTTTTAGGCATTGTTCTTTAGTTTAGTTTTTTTTTTTTTTTTTTTCTGGGTGCAAACAGGTCACAGATGCCAGAACATGAAAAATAGTTCAGGCGGTAAGGGGGTTGCAGGGGAGGCGGGGTCTTGGAAAAGAAAAATTAAAAGAACGCAGTGAGCTCTGGTTAATGGAAACTCGCACTGCTGCGCTTCAGATCCAATTTAGCTGGGAAACAAATAATTTCGCAGGTCTTTGTAAATGAATTGGCTGCCGGGCGCTTCCAGGTCTTCCGTTTATCTGCTGATCCGTGCAGCAGCAGCAGCAGCAGCAGCCTCAGGAAGCGCACTCACTGCTGCCTGACCTCTTCACAGATCAATCTTACAGGAATCAAAGCACAGCGGATCTGAGCTGGAGCTTATAGGCCGTCACGTGACGCTTTTCATGGAAAGGATGCAGAAATTTCAGCGAAACAGTTTAGTGGTCAAGTTTTTTTTTTTTTTTTTTAGGGGGGGGGGTAAACAAACAAACGAAAAGTAACAATAACAAAAAAAGAAACTGAGATCTTGCAGCGACAGCAGGAAGCTAAACTGAAAGGGTTCAACCAGGGGACAAGTTTTTCTGACCGATGAGGTCCACTGGCTCTGAAGCCAGAGGCTGACCCGCAGTCACCCCCTGCCCGATTCCTACCTTACCTCCCCCGCGCCATCCACCTACCTGCCCCCGCCTCTCTGGCCCCCCTTGACCTCACCAGACGGCTAGACCCTCCGCTCCCTCGGACATTCCCAGACCTTTGGAGCCCCAGGGCCACTTTGTCATAACAGGCAAAGTTCAGAGCTCTGGAAGCCAGGCTGACTATGGCATATTTTCTCCCACACAGACTGATGGGCAGCGCCCCGGTGTGAGACTGCAAGATACCTTCATTTGAACACAACGAGAAACATCACAAATAATAGACTTTAAAAGATGTCTAAATGTAAAAGGCTTAATTTCTTGGGGGTTCTTGGACAGGTTTTTTTTTTTTACCAGGCTGTGGGATAGTAGCTGGACAGAAACTAACTTTTGTTTGTAAAGAGCAATAAAAACAGCACATGACAGATCTATAGTAAATAGAAATGTCCTGTTGGAATGTATGTGGAGGAATCGTGTCGGCTAAGATAACTATCAATGATATAAATATAATTCAATAATTCAGTTCAGTTAA